TCGATGAGGGAATGTTCAAGACAAACAAACCATTAAATTATAAAACATTCAAATACTACAAACAACAGAGTTTGGAGTTAAAGTAATCATTTTTGTTCAACCGTAGTAAAGTCGGCGTGGGGGTAAGGGTAGGTCGGTGCAGCGAAGTGAACACCAGTCTCTGGTTTCAAGTACTTATCGCTGAGAAACTTGTTGGAAAGTAAAGTTTGAAACTAAGTTCCGCTCCGGGAGATGCCCCAGTTATCTTGTGCTCACAGTCGAAATTATTGCGCTACTTCTTGTTCTGCGGTAAATCGAGTTTTACAACTTTGGCCATCCTCTAGCAACTTTCTGGTTCTCCGGAAAGCTGTGCGTAGCTAAAGCCGCGTTTACACCGGAGTTTCAAACAAAAAGTTGCAAACTTTTATTGCAAACTGCAGTTGCAAACAGTAGTTTCAAATAAATGTTTGCAATTTTTATTTAATGATTTGTTTCCATGTTTCATGAAATTGTTTGAAATAATTTTGACCTTGATTATGACTTGCCTCGTTCTGGTTCCTTGGATCAGTCCTTCTGAGGATGTTATTTTAGCCGCGGCGGCGTGTGTCGTGTTGTTAAAGCAACGTAGGCCGAGACGATGCTGGGTGAACATCGGTGATTGTATAAATCATCAAATTAAAATTATTTTTAATTTTTAAAGATTACAAGGACTTAATTATAACCCTTTTAATTCACATGAGACGTTATTGTTATATTTAAATTAGACGACCTTGTCATTTGAGATTAGTGTTAATTCATTGACAGTCAAACAGCATTTTTCCGAATAATTTAACACTGAGTCGAGACACAGGGTCGCAGTGATCACGTGAGTGAGAGTGGATGTGGCAGCGTAGGGGATGGTGGAGAAATGTTTCTGTTTCGTGTTTCAACGGCTCATAGTGACCGAAACTAGTGTTGCAAACAAAGAGTTTGCAACTCCCTTTGATCTTTACCGACTTCAAGTGGAAACAAAAATTTCTGTTGCAAACACTGAAAAACTGTTTGCAACAGCGAAATGTTTCGTCTAAAAATGTGCGTTTTTAAAAATGTTTGCAATTTCTGTTTGCAACTCGTGTTTCAAACTCCGGTGTAAACGCGGCTTAAGAATAAAGTTTGTGTAAACAGGTGTGGCGGCGAGTGTGAAGATCATATTGACGAAACCACTGATGTTTTAATGTTTGGTTGTTACTTTGTGTGAGTTATGTGAGTGTGACTTGGTTTTACTAGAACGTGTTTTGGCACTGTAGTTAATTTGTTTAGCCTAAATTTACCAGAACCGTTAAGGCAAATCGTCTCAAAAGTAAAAAAAAATGTAACGTATCAAAAAAAGACATGTTCTGTTACATGAGTCGTCTTAAGGCATTTTATTAGTGTTTTACAAAATTATATTTGCAATTTTTTTATTTATTTATAATAACTTTATGCATCTGTTAACCCAAAAAACCGAAACTATATTTCATAGTATCCTACAGGGGGAAATGCCTGGCGGTGCCAGTGTCACAGTAGGTTTGGTAGATCATATTGGAGAGAACGCGAACGCACAAAGGTAGCGAGCGTTGCAGAAAGCGGACGTGGCAGCAGTAAAACGCTACCAATGGCGTCTAGGCCCGTTGGAAGTCATAACAGATTCAATGGGCCGTTTATTCCGGCACTGCGCCTCTCCCAGCAATTACTACGGTACTATGTAGCCTGGGGGATTTGTCCCTCCCTCCGCCCCCCCCCCCCCCCATGTTACAACCCCTAGCAACCTCGGTCCCTACCCCGCATCAGCTAATTCCGTCAGTAAATCTGCAAAAGAGTGAAATGATTAGGGGAGGGGTAGCTTTCACTTTACTGGCACATTCTTTGTGGGAGGGTGGATGTAAAGGGGATTGGAGAGGAAATCACAAATTTGATTTTTTTACAAACAGAACAGGGTCCACAAGTCAATTAAGCTTGGATTAAAGGTGCAAAAACATAGCTTAATACCAACCCGTGTTGACAGTATTATCATAACACAAACAATATCAATAAATTGTTGATGAAATTTTTGATAAAAATTATAATTTTTGAAATTCTTACTAACAACAGTTTACAAAACTCCCCAATTTTGAATCGTCATGAACCGTTAAACCGTTACAGTGCAGTCCGATTGTAAAATAGTCGAAAGTAGTAGGACCTCAATAACAAAATACTCCATAGAAACCCCAATAATTTAGCGTTTATTATAACAAGGGGACACGGAACATTCGGTACTAAAATAAAATATTCTTATAGTAGGATGTATAAAAGTCAAGTGTCTTGAAAACTTCCTTAGTCAACATAAAATTATTTATTACATGTCATACATTGTGCACTGTGTTAATGCCAGTCTGCCACAACTAATACCATTTACCTTTCCCGAGGTTTATGTACAATGTCGATGTACACCTCATTAACATGGCGTAGTGAACTCGGAGGATATATTTTAAAAAGGAAGCACAAATTATGTAAACGAGACAGGCACGCAAAGAACAAAGAGAAAACTTGTGACGCAGCTAAGGTTCATAAAACATTTACAAAGGGTTGACGAAAACACTTTGTAAACATCTTTATTTTATCATGCGAAAGACACTCGTATTGCGCTTAACAGATATCGCAAAATGGGAACTGAACCATCTTGGACTTTGTTAAACTAGATCTAGTGAAATAGGTAGTTTAAAACTGAGATATTTATGTTACGCATGGTTAAACATAAAAAACACGAACTTCTGAGTGATTTCTTTACTCTAAAAGAAAATCACATCTCATAAGAGCAAGAGAAAGTAAAATACATTGCCGTTTGGATTGGGGTATTTTTAACAACAAAACTCAATCAGTGAAATAAGCTCAGTAATAAACACGCTTTACTGAAGGTGGACTGTAGAGTATTATACATCGATGGGTGGACCTAGTGTGTAGTGCAGTGTGTAATATATCACAGAGAAGTGTATACAGTGGTTACAGGATACAAAGGATAGATTCATCCACACGTAATATACCCTAGCACATAGCACACCACACAGGCTGCAAAACGCCTAAACAGAACAGACGTATGTTGACGCATACAACATGTGATAATCTTTTAGAAAATGTAAAAACAATTGAACTATTCTTTACGTAAAATTTTCATACAAACCTAACTCGTGTAGGATATTCGATATCTGTACAATATCAGTGTAGTGGTACTGTGGTGGGGGGAAGGGAATGGCGTGGGGGTGATGTAAGAAATCGGCTCTCGCGGAGGCTGTAAATAAACAAATAAACGATGCCAACAACACGGCCACGGCGCAATCTCTCTCGCTGACTCGCGCCCATAAGTTAAAGTTTTAATGACGCCCGCTATTCCAGGACAGCCGCGAATAAACGACAAGGCGGCGGACCCGACCAACTCTGTCGCATACTGATGACACCGACACGCAGACTATGTATCCATACACACCACCCCCTGTGGGGTAACACTATAGTAATGTTATAATATGACACTATCTAGTTTAAAAAACTTGAGCATGAGAAAGTGTCAGTAGTTTTTTGATGGTTCAAAACTGGTCCCAGCCTTGATCAATATGCTTCAAGCAGGAAAACGTTATGGCTTAAAAAATACACGTATATAAATTCCCTCGTATAGATATCCAGTATATAACATGACGTGTAAATTGAAAACACTGTGGTCTTTCTACACTAAATCTCGATCACATACCAATAATCAATTTTGGAACACGTAATTACAGTATAACACTTTACAAGAGTTGTAATTTTTAATAGTAAGTCTTTAGAGAGTATTTTAATTTTACTGAGTTGTACATTTAACTTCAAATTACAGTTGCAATAAGTTTGAGAAAAACTATATTACTTGAGGAGCCGCGTGGTGAAATGGAGTCGTTGAAAAAGGTCCGCTTTCTTGAGAAATTCGATCCGGCATTACTTGTTGAACTGACTATAACCGGAGCCGCTCCATTACCTCGCGGATAACTGTGCTGACCTCGCTCTGGCCGAACCGGTAACATCACGTCGTCCTCGTGATGTAAGACGCTACTTGCAGAATGCAGGCAGTAATACATACAAAATTGGTTTATGATAATTATTTGTTATTTGATCGTTGAGTTTGGTGCGAGCCGCCGCTTACCCAGACGCAAATCACACGTATTGTACCTGATACAGCGATACATCGTCGCAACTGATCACTGGTTGTCTACATCTCTCGTTACTACACACGGTTCGCGGAACGAGCCAGCAGATTACAGTTTCATTTCCTTTTAATGTCAAGTGGAAGGAATGTCGTCCTACGTGTAATGTGCTGAACGCAATTAAAGAACGAGAGCGGTTTTTGAGTAGGCGGGGGAGGCGCTCGGTGCTGTAGAGTCTCCCGTAATTGCCAAGTGCGTTTCATTTCTCTACGTCTCTCTTTCTCCACATTTACCTTCCGTTGCACATCTCCATTCGTTTGGTTCCATAGATACGTAGGTTTTAATATTGTCGACAACACTGCGTGCTACACAGCTGCCCACCCAGAGCCCAGGGGCACTGACGTCCGACACTCTCACCACGGACGGACCAAATTGTCCCGTAATTGTACTTCTCCTCTACCTCCCCTACTTCCAGCACCTCCTCACATTGTTCTCTTGACAATTACACACTCCAGCTGGCTCTAGACCTCACTCATTATCGTCTGTTTTGATCAGTGATGTCCATATAAAGCGAATCGCAGTGAAACACTTCTATTGCAAATGCTTTTATTATGAAATGAGTAATAATATTAAAGTCAACTCCAGTATAATATGTATGATTTATAAATGCAATCGATATCTTGTTTTGTTGGACAAGTAAAATACATACAATCAAGATGAACAACACTGCAAGAATGTTTTGAAATGCCCAGTAACTGAAATGTCTTCTAGAATACATAGCAACGACTATAACTGCATTAGTTAAGTTCAATCGTATGGTAGCCTACGTTTCTTATACTTATCAGTGTAGTTACGTACCTTTGAAGTTGTCCGGCGGACGAGCCGCCTCTCGGCGGAGATGTTTCCTGGAGGGACAGGCGACGGGCGCGTCTGTTTGGACAACACTCACTGGCAACTGACGCTGGCTCCGGGACTGTAACACAGGAAAACAATAATTGGTAAATGTCATCCACAAGAAACACACTTTATCTACAAATTGTTGTAAGGTTTAGCTACTAAAAAATATTTAAGTAAATCGATCATCCAGGGTGTTTAAGTCGTATTATGAGGGTTGTACAGCTAGTCCAGTAGTTAAAAGAATCTCGGACTTTGGTGTGAGAGACTGGTTCCATCCACGGCATATCCACAAAATCTTCATGGGTGTAGACGACTTTCCCTCAAGTGTTTGCAATTCCTTCAATGAAAATGCCATACTATAGGCTTAGGGTTAGGCATTAACAAAAATACCTCACAGGGTCATTAAAGACACGTACTAGATTGAAAATCTAACTACGCAGATTATCATGTAACTACAGCCGTGAAATGATCAATCGTGCCAGTCTACATCGATAGTCCTGTCTCAGGAAGCTACAGCGCCGGTCGAAGCGATTATCTTGAGATGAGCGATGAGCGATGATAGACGTGACGCCGTATTGAGGTCAACCAGTTCCGTCTGCCTCTCTACTTACCATAACCAGTTCTCCACCTGTCCCGTATTATGCAACCGGTTTTAGGATTCGCCACAGCGCCGCAGCACCGCAGCACATGCCACCCGCCGAACCTTTTGTTCTCGCTTCCTAATTGCATTCCCCGACGCTAATGGTCGATACATCACGAGACAAAGGCGTAGTGTGAAAAACAGTCCCCTCACCACCACCCTACCCGTAAAAGGCCGCGTTCCCTTTGCCTTCCTTTATTCTATCCGTTGTACAAAAGCGCGTGATTGCGATTACGATCGCCCGATGCCCATTGCTCGTTCTCGTTATTGGCCTCGCCACTTTCCGGTCCATTTGTCATGAATGCTGACGTACCAACCGCGGAGCACAGCAACTGTAGGCCTACTCGACCAATGTACAATCGCATGTTTGTTGGTCGAGAAGAGCTTTTAGTGGAGCATATAGTAATCTCTACTCAGATTAACCACAGGGTAAACTCATTATATTGCAAAATACATCATACTGAATACAGTACGGTAGGCCTAATTGGTTTCTCGTTGACAAGATTTTTATGAGTTTAATGTAACTATTTGAAAATTTCAAAATAAACACAATAAACTTATGTAGTTTAATTCTAATCCAGAATCGTTAATCCCTAGTGATCAGCCGATAAAGTGGTAATTATAGTCATAGAACGGGTCTATAAACAATGTTGCTGCCCAATTGGCCGGACCTACGCCTACTTTCTCGGCCACTCTCTCACCACACCTCTGTCCATGCCACAATGGCGTCGTTAATAGACAAAGTGACGATGATCATCTCCAAGGCCGCTCCGGAGATATTTCCCCTCGGCGCTGCTCGGGTCAAGGACCGCGTCGTCGACTGGTTCGCCGTGTCTTCACCACCCTACTCCCTCCAACTCTACATGTCAATCGCTGATCAGTGAAGGTCACCTCTGTGGCGGATCTTGCTTTACAATCGGTACTGTAGCCATGAAACAACCAGAATAGGGCCTAACTATGATTACATTCACGGAATTCATATGAAGCTTTTCCGATTACTCAGTTTTACCACTGGCTCTACGTATTTGGCAAAATGAAATGGTAATTAAAACGTGTTGAAGCTTTTTTTACCGTCTACACCAGAGACATTTCCAACAAATGAACTCAATATCTTTCGTCGATATAGGCATATCCATAGAGAAGTTAAATATCTAACTTATCTGTGCATCTAACTTTCATAGATTACAAACTGTAAACCATCGTTGAGTTGATTAGTTACAACAGGAGAACCAATCACGTGTAAGTGGATGTTTAGACATGCGGGGTGTTTGTATCACCCGCATCCAAATACACCTGTCCGTGTGAACTGGTACCGAACTGTCGACGACTTTGAATATCGACCCCACCACAACATACATACTGTGGTGATGGCCGAGTGTTTGACCCAACAAAATACGGAATGAGCCGGTTGACTTCTGTACGGATCAAAATGAGGTTAACTAGCACAACAACAACGACTAGTCACATAACAGTGACAACAGTTATAAATGTGATAAGAGCAGTGGCAGTGATAAGCGACACATCCTTGAGAGGTCGGAATGTAACACAACAAGCACTTGGCTGTGATAACGTGTATTATCACACTCGTGGCATGTGACTACCCGCTGTCAAAGCACAACCGAGTACTATATTATTATATTTCGCTCAAACTCCGAATTCGGTCAATGGCCGAAATTTGTATCCACGTCACGAATGTGAGCGGTTTGAAATACCCTCAGGAAGTGTGCATTTTATTCGCACATTGGCCGAATCCAAATGCCCACTCCCGCACTACGTGAGTTGTTCACTTTGTCAACAGTGCCAGGCGGGGGGAATGTTGCTGAAAGTCAACAGTCCCGGAAGATCAAATAATTTATACCTGTGCCGCTAGGTCAAAAACTACAATGTTTGCAGTGTCTGTAGATCAAAAGTCCCAGTAAGTCAAATAGTACAGTCCGAGCTAAAAACGTGGTCTATGTTAAAGAAATTGACTTATTGGGAATTTGACCTAATGCAACAGCAGTTTTAATATAACGAAATACGGTAAAATACAAGTTTAGTTTCGCTGAGTCAACAGTGCCGGAAGATCAAAAGCAATAAATGTGAACGTCGATTCAGTGTAAAGTAGACCTCCTGCAACGCTTACTACACCAACAAAACTCGCTTTTAGTTACTTCGTGTTTTGTCATAATTAGAATAGAGCTAAAATTATCATATTTGGTACATAGCTTATCTATTAATGCTTCTTGCCAACTGTTTGGTCAACACTGTAAATAGGTATAGTTTATGTAATAAAAAGCCTTTCGTCAAAATTTGTGGCATGAAATACACGCAAGGACGATCTGAAAGTTTCTGGTTATTATATACGCTTGTAAAAGGAGATCCATTTAATTTTAGAACTATTTTATGAGTTATAATGTAGTATACAAATAAACTGTGTAAATGTATTACGCCTCGGAAGAGTTGAAACCTGTCCAAACTATCATATATATTATTAAAACGTAAATGGGGTTTTTTCACATTCTGAATCAAGTTTTAATTTTTAAAAAGTCTAGCAGCCGACGCTTACCTTCTAAGCTAGCTTTTAGTACAATATAATTTGCTTAACATAACAGCTGTAAACATTCAGCATTTGTGACACAAATTCAGCATTTGGAAACAAATTTAAAGACATATTTAGAGTTGACATATTTATACTATGTGTAATGCTGACCATTGATACATTCAATTCTTAGGTATGAGGATGGCAGATTAATTAAATATGCATAGTAAAATTGTAGGATGTTCAAATTATTTTTTAAAGGAATCTTTTTAATCATTGATTTGTTTTAGTCCCATAAAATTTGTTTTAACTAACAGCTGGTTGAATGTAATGTTGTTCTATATAGGCCCCTAACTATTAGGTTTTTGGCGAATTTCCCATATAGGGAATAAGCTATTACCGTAGTAGTAACACCTGGACCCGCGGGACCGATTTAATTTTTCGTTTTGAGGTCCCTAGAGGCCAAAAACACCATACGTTCAAATTCATACATACAGGGTGATCAACTCAAGGAGGCCACCATTGGGAAATCGGAAACGGTAAGAATTAGAGAAAACTTTAAATGGGGCACATTCCTTTATTTTTCGTGGCAGTTAAAAATATGATTTTAGTTTTTTTATCATTTTTTTGGATAGAATATGCAATTTAAAAACTTTTTTAGCCTTGACATTTTTTTGATAAACCCACTCGTTTAGGAGTAAAGCCTATGGAAAAATGACTTCCGGTGTACATTTTACATCATGTAGCTCCTAAACGAGTAAGTTTAGAGCAAAATTGGAAACAGTAAATTAGTCTTAGAATTGCATCTACATTCCTTAAGGACTATAAAATAAAAAGTTTTCCACTTTTCAAGTTTGCCGCCAGTTTTTAAATAATATAATTCACATTTTTAATTAATTTTATGGTCTTTTTGGAATGTGGCTGCAATTGTAAGACTTTTTTACTCTTCCCTTTTTTGCTATAAACTTACTTGTTTAGGAGCTACATGATGTAAAATGTACACCGGAAGTCATTTTTCCATAGGCTGTAACTCCTAAACGAGTGGGTTTATCGAAAAAATGTCAATTGTAAAAAAGTTTTCAAATTGCCTATTCTATCCGAAAACATGATAAAATATAGGGTGTTCTATAAGAAATTTCAAATTTGGCCGCCATTTTGGAAAATGGCGGCTGAATAAAAAGGAAAACTAAAATAATATTTTTAACTGCCACAAAAATAAAGGAATGTCCCCCATTTGAAGTTTTCTCTAATTCTTACCGTTTCCGATATCCCAATGGTGGCCTCCTTGAGTTGATCACCCTGTATAGCCTATATTTATTTATTTATATATTTTTCCCGGGGGGAACCCCAGCACCCCCTCCTTTTTAGGCCCCCGGTGACCCCCCCCCCAAAAAAAATATATGTCTAGGACCGCCCTTGTCTTCTTTACCTATAAAACACATGGGATACACCCTTTCTTCACTGATCACGTAATGCGTGATTTTTTATAAAGTCTTGGAAAAATAAAAGGTAAAATAGATAGAATGCAGGTGTACTGTATGTGGTTTACACACAAATATTCATCAAACTGTGTGATATTTTGTTATTGCAATGAACAATTTGGGAGCATCGTATTGTTTAAGTCGATGGAAAATCTCTGTTGATCCTGTTTTACAAGCAAACCAAAAAGATACAGTAGTCACCACTCTATGCGACATATTCTAACCAGAAAATTGTAATCGTATGATTCTATAAGTATTGGTAGGATTGCAAAGTACTACACAAACATTATTTCAAGGGTAATAACAGTTACAATTTCCGCTGACTTTAAAAGTGTCAACTAAAAAATTATACTAATGGACACACAACTAAATGGAACAACTAATGGAAATACTCACGATGTACATATAACAGTTCGATATAAGCATTGAGTATA